TATATCAATCATGCGAAAAGAAGTAAACGTGAAGATAAAAAATTAAATCACCCTCAAACTTAATAGGTGCATTGTCCTCAATGTACCACAATAGGGAATAAAATGCAAAAAGGAGGGTGCGAAAGGATTTGAGAACTCACATGGTCAATCGAAAGGTGGCGGTGGGGGTAAACAAGAAAGAATCTCCCTCATCAAAGCAAATTGCTGGCCCATCTCGATTTGTATATTACGAACCATGTCATATGTCTGATCAGCCTGGAATTGCATGCCATCCATCATTCCAGTATAACGGTCCAACCTCCCAATTAGCCTATTAGTACTTTGACGTAAATCAGAGACATCTTCTTGAGTCTTGCTCGCGCTAGCTCGTACAATCCCAATGTCAGTTTGCATATCTTGTACCCGTAAATCCAGGGCGGTAAATGATTGTTGCAACTGTTGAACATCCCTACTCAGCCCGGTCATCGTCGCAAACATCTATCGCAGTACGGGGGTATCAACTAGTGGCTCATGTTGCAGGTCCAGGTGGATGTCAACATCATCCTCATGGCCTACCTTGTCCTGGTTATATTGTCGTCCTTGTTTGTACTAATTGACTTTTCTCCAAGAGTTTTGGGCGGAGAGAATGTTGATTGGGCCAGCAGGACATATTGCCTGCTCAGCTGGTAGGAGCTGCTCTCCATAAGCCCTGCATATTCCACAGATAAGGCTTGGAAATATGAGTGTGTGTCATGGGTCTACTTCAACAGCACGGGCACAGATCAGATTATAGATGTGAGTGCCCAAGTCAAATTTGAGCCATCTAGTTAAATGGTAGAGCAAAGCAGCTTTAGTGTGGTCAAACTTGTAACGATGCTTGAAGGGATCAGCATTATGGCAAACAAACATCATCAGAACCATGAGGGACTTAGTTAAATTACTGTGTAAGAAATCCGGTTGATGGAGCGGCTAGGCATCTGTTCTTCCATATAAAACATGTGCTAACTCTGGCCAATTCTACTCTGGTGGTATCGGGATGATTCCTTCTCGATTCAATTCAAGATATTCATCAATGACCTCAGGTGTGAACATAAACCATTTATCCCGCACCCAGATTCGGTGCTGGTGATCGGTCTCAGGCTCGTCGATGGAGAAGTTGAAATTTGTGTAAAACTCTTGAACAAGTGTAGGATAAATAGCAAATGGTTTAGCTATAACCTTTTCCCAGCCCGCACGATGGATTAATGTCTCAATTTCAAACCTCGGGAAATCTTCCAAAACCACTTCCCGCTCGGGTAAAACAGTCCATCTGGTGACTACTTGCTCAAATCAAAGCTTATGCTCTGGGCTTAGGAATCTTCACACGCCACCTTCATCAACTCGAGAGCGGCCAAGGTTGGACGAAGAAGAGGCTTTGCCTCTCCCCTTTGAAGTGGATGGAGCGTTGCGTGTGCGTTTGGGAGGCATTCCTGCAAAAGGCACAAAATAAGCAAATGAGATAGATGAACGAGGTAATTGTTATCAAGAGAATACCATGAGTACCAAACGAAGAGCAAAGTGTAGTGCTATGTGTGGGGAAGAACACGGAAGGACGGTGGAAGGGGTGGTAAGTACAACATGTAGTTTCCCTTCAATTTCAAGTTATACAATAGAGTGGATGCAAGCAAGTATAAGGTGTCGTTAAATTGAGGAAAGCCCAAGTGTTGTGCAAAAATTCAAGCTAAAATGTAGACCAATGAGTATTTGGGTAAACAAACACTTTGTGGGCAATGTTGTAGCAAGAATGTCCATATGCCTATTTTGTTATGAATCTACCAATTTTAACATCAAATTAAACAAAATCCACCATCTACCTAAGCCCAACCTCCACAATAATTAAAAAAATTCATCAAATTGCACGTCAATAGACAAAAAAATTGTAGCCCAAGAGTTCGCAAAGAAACACGTTACTTTCGAGTTTTTTTTTTGCAAGTGGAGAAGTTGACTCAAGGATTTTGATATGCAAAGTGTTCTAATGTGCTAATTTTGTGATGCCCAAGAGATAGGGGAGGGGATTGGGAGGAGAAGGTGTTGGTGGTTGAAGAGGAGATGATTGTCGTATGTGTGGGTAAAGGGGGGAGTGTTTGGGGACTTTGTGCATGGGTGAGGGTTTAAATCCCTCACCCGACCGGGCTGTGCGTACGCATGGCTTGGGGCTGTGCATAGCAGATTGGCCTCGGGCGGCCAATCTGCCAACCATGCGTACGCACAACCTGCAGGTCGGTGTGTACACATGGTTAACCATTTTATTTTATTTTATTTATAACTGACTCTCCATACCCACCTCCGACTAAATTCTTTACATAATACAGTTTAGAAATATGCAAAACGATTATGACATAGAAGTTCAATGCCAATCTTGAAGAGTGCATTTTGGTTTAAACCGAACCTGACCACTCGGGTTCCACTCCCAAACTAATACCTTTACCACTATGATCGAAAAATGTGCAATTGATGCGGGAATCAATAGATTATAAGTAAGTCATTCTTGTACCCAAAATTACACATTTCAGCCTCGATGACTGTAACATTTCATTTTTTTATCTAGATATTCGTGATGCCCTCCAATTGCATGTCTGGAATGATTGAACTTCCCTAAACTTGTGTAAAACAAATATGAAATTGCGTGACCTGTGCATTAACTCAACAACTAAGCAATGAACGGATGACACCTAATCTATCTAACACACCCAAGCAATAAAGAAAACATATTAAAAATCTAATGCAACAAAGCGAAATAAATAAAAGGGAAGAGAATCGAGTTGCCTCCCAATAAACGCTATTTTTATAGTTCATAGCTCGACTTTGTTGCTTAGGCTACTCTGCACTATTAAAAGGTACGATCGCCTTCTCATTGGAGTAGTCACCTCCCCAATAGGCTTTCAACCGCTATCCATTCAATTTAAATCTTCTCTGTTCATCCTGAGATACTACTTCTACAGCACCATGTGGAAGCACGACTACTACTGTGAAAGGACCTGACCACCTAGACTTTAGCTTTCCAGGAAAGAGTTTGAGACGTGAATTAAACATCAATACTTACTGGCCTACTTCAAAATCATTTTCTCTTACATGTCTGTCATGCCATCGCTTGGTTTTCTCCTTGTAAATCTTTGCATTCTCATATGAATCCAAACGAAATTCCTCTAGCTCATGGAGTTGTAGAACCCTCTTTTCTCCTGCCGCCCTCATATTGAAATTGAGCGAATGAGTTGCCCAATATGCCTTATGCTCTAACTCAAAGGGCAGATGATAGGCCTTTCCAAACTCCAGTCGATATGGAGACATGCCAATTGGAGTCTTAAATGCTGTTCTATAAGCCTAAAGTGCATTGATCGTAGCTTTGAGAATCTTCTTTAACTCCCTGTTGGAGATTTCCACTTGCCTACTAGTCTGAGGATGGTACGGAGTCGAGACACGGCGTTTTACTCCATATTTGGCCAACAACGATGCAAATAATCGATTACAGAAATGCTTTCCACCATCACTAATAATTGCCCTGGAACTGCCGTATCGAGTGAAAATGTTCTTCTTCATGAACTGAGTTGCCACTCACACATCGTTAGTTGGCAAAGCTACAGCTTTAACCCACTTAGACACGTAGTCCACTGCCACTAGTATATATTGTTGACCGTAGGAGGGAGGGAATGGTCCCATGAAGTCAATGCCCTAAACGTCGAAAATTTCAACTTCCAAAATGTTGTTTAAAGGCATCTCGTTCTTTGTTGAGATATTTCCAGTCCTTTGACACTTGTCACAATATTTCACCATATAATGTGCGTCCTTGAACAACGTAGGCCAATAGAATCCCGATTGTAGTACCTTTGCTGCTGTCTTGGTTGCTGCGAAGTGGCCCCCATACGGTGCAGAGTGACATGACTCTAACACTTGATGCTGCTCTACCTCTGGCACACAACGACATATGATTTGATCTGGACCCCTTCTATAAAGAATTGGATCATCCCAAAAGTAGTGTTTTAGGTCAATGAAGAATTTCTTCTTTTGGTGACTCGAGTAGTCTGGTGGGATGATGGAGTGGGCCAAATAATTGACATAATCGACGTACCATGGTGTAGTGATAATCTGAAAAATCATTTCATCGGGAAAAACTTCATTGATCTCCACTGTAGGGTTTAACTCATGTGATTCGAGGCGAGAAAGATGATCTGCCACAACATTCTCACTTCCCTTTTTATCTCTAATCGCCTAATCAAACTCTTGCAATAGGAGTATCCATCGAATAAGCCTCGGCTTTACATCCTTCTTGCTTAGTAGATATTTTAAGATTGAATGATCCGTATAGACAATCACTTTTCACCTAATCAAGTATGATCTAAATTTGTCAACGGCGAACACTACTGCCAAAAGCTCTTTCTCTGTAGTCGCATAATTCATTTGAGTCTCATCCAAAGTCTTACTGGCATAGTGAATAACATGGGAACTCTTCTCCTTTCGTTGACCCAACACTGCCCCCACTGCATGATCACTGGCATCACATATAAGTTCGAACGGATAATTCCAATCTAGGAAAGCCAATACTGGAGCAGAAACCAATTTTTCTTTTAAGATGTTGAAAGTTGTCAAGCACTCCTTAGAAAAGTGAAATGGGGTCCTTTTTTCTAATAGATTGCATAATGGCTTCGAGATTTTGGAAAAATCTTTGATGAAGCGACGGTAGAACCTAGCGTGACCCAAGAAACTTCTAACTCCCTTAACTGTTACCGGCGGTGGTAGTTTTTCGATGACTTGTATCTCAGCTCTATCAACCTCAATACCCCATGCTGAAATCAAATGTCCTAACACAATTCCTTCCTTAACCATGAAATGGCATTTTTCCCAATTTAATACAAGGTTTGTGTCTTCACATCTCTGCAGTACTTTTCCCAAGTGTTCAAGGCACCCCTCAAATGATTTTCTAAACACTGAGAAATCATCCATAAACACCTCAATAATATGTCCCACCATGTCTGAGAAAATAGACATCATACAACGCTGAAAGGTGGCTGGAGCATTGCAAGGCCGAAGGGTATCCTCCTATAAGCAAAAGTGTCATAAGGGCATGTAAATGTTGTCTTCTCTTGATCATCAGGTACTATAGAAATCTGGTTGTACCCCGAATAACCATATAAGAAACAGTAGTAGGCATGTCCAGCGAATCTCTCCAACATCTGGTCAATGAAAGGGAGGGAAAAGTGATATTTCCTGATAGCGTTGTTGAGTTTGCGATAATCAATGTAGACTCTCCAACCAGTGACTGTCCGTGTAGGGATGAGCTCGTTATTTTCATTTGGGACCACCGTGATTCCTCCTTTTTTCGACAATACTTGTACTGGACTGACCCGATGGCTGTCTAATATGGGATAGATTATCCCTGAATCCAAAAGCTTTAATACTTTTTTTCTTACCACTTCCTGCATATTCAGGTTTAATCTGCGTTGATGCTCAACTGAAGCTTTGTAATCATCTTCCATCAATATCTTGTACATGCAAAGCGAAGGGCAGATTCCTTTTATGTCTGATATCGTCCATCCTAATGCTGTCTTGTGCTCCCGAAGTACTCTTAGCAGCTGATTTTCCTCTAATTCTGTAAGATTGTTTGAGATAATTATTGTGAGCGAATTCTTTTCCCCTAGATACGCATAGCGCAGATGAATGGACAACTGTTTGAGTTTAAGAGTTGGAGCTTGTTGTATAGATGGTAAAGGATTTGTGGGTCTTTCACCGAGCTCCAAACATGGCTGCTTGAAAAGTGGTGGTATGGCTGCCAAATAACGTGCACACTCTTTTGCTTCATCTTTTTCCGATGACAATTCCTGAGAATGCACCAAGCAAGCCTCAAGCAGATCTTGAGGGTGATCAAGTTTTAATGTCTCTGACACTGCTTCCCTTATTATGTCAATCTACATGCAAGAATCTGGTTCATTCTGAAATTTGAAGGCTCTAAACACGTTGATTGTCAATTCCTCGTCATCTAACCTCAATATTAACTGACCCTTTTGCACATCTATCAGAGCAGTTCCCGTAGCCAAAAATGGGCGACCCAATATGAGGGGGACGTCCCGATCTTCTTCCATATCCAGAATAATGAAGTCCACTGGGAAGATAAACTTATCGACCTTGACCAAAATATCTTCACAAATACCTTGCGGGTGCTTGATTGACCTATCGGCTAACTGCAGTGAAATTGTAGTCGTTTTTGCTTTCCCCAACCCTAGTTTCTTGAAAAGAGATAAGGGCATTAAATTGATGCTAGCTCCTAAATCACATAATGTCTTATCTATATACAAATTACCAATATTACAAGGAATAGTAAAACTCCCTGGGTGTTTTAGTTTCGGTGGTAATTTCTGTTGGAGAATTGCGCTGCACTCCTCAGTAAGGATGACCGTTTCATTGTCTTCTAGCTTCCTCTTGTTTGATAAGATGTCTTTCATAAACTTAGCGTAGCTGGGTATTTGAGCTAGGGCTTCAGCGAACGGTATGTTAATGTGCAACTTCTTAAATACATCAAAAAATTTCTGAAATTGCTTATCTATCTTATGTTTTTGTAGTCTCTGTGGAAATGGGATTGGAGGTACATATGCTTTGACAAGAGTGCTTGTTTTAACTCGTGGACTGCCCAATGACTCGATTTGATTTTCCTCTGTTGTTTTGTCTAATTCATCAACTTGCTCTTCACCCGTTGTAGGTGTCTTTTCTGTGATAGTTGCTGGCCACTTTACATGTATTTCTGGTAGCTGGACTCCACTCCGTGTAGTTATGGCTTTGACCTGCTCCTTAGGGTTTATCTCGGTGTTGCTAGGTAACGTCCCTTGAGCTCTACCTGATAATGCGGCTGCAATCTGTCCCACATGTTGTTCCAGGTTCTTGATTGAGGCCTGTTGATTTTGGAAATTGGTCTTAGTTTTAGTAATATACTGAGCCAGCAAATCTTCTAAAGATGGTTTCTTTCCTTGCTGTTGTTGCTGCTGTTGGAACCCCGATGGTTTATTTAGATTGTTACCTCCTTGTCCTTGTCCCTGATTGCTCGACCACAAAAAGTTTGGATGATTTCTCCAACTCGGATTAAATGTGTTGGAGAAGAGACTATTTTGTTGTCTCTGAAAGTTCTGCGCATAGCTCATTTCTTCAGATTGGTTAACATGTGTAGACGCCAGAGGGCAGTGGGTAGTATTATGATCAGCTCTGCAACCTTCACAAACCGGTGGAGATTGATGAACCATATTAACTGACTTGAGATAGATTATCCATTTTCATTGTAAAAACTTCCATTTGTGCAACCAGTGCTGTTACTGCATCTACATTATGCAGTCCTGCTGTCTTCCTTGGCGTTTCCCTATCGGTTGGCGACATCGATTGATTCTCAGTTATTCTTTCATACAAGTCATATGCCTCATCCACATCAAATTTCATCACCGATCCTCCTACAGAAACATTTCTCATATTTCTGAATTCTTGCTTTAGACCATAGTAGAATAGATATTGCTGAGCCTTTTTAGGGATGTCAAGGCTGGGGCATTTTCTGAAAAAATTCTTGAATCTCTCCCATGTCTCCTAATAGCTTTCAAGCTCTTTCTGCTTGAAAGTGTGGACTTCATTCCTGACTTGATGAACTTGAAAAGGTGGAAAAAATTTCATCGTGAATTCTTGAACCATATCGTTCCAAGATTGAATGCTCCCAGGTGGTAAACAAAGAAACCATTCCCTTACAGTGTCTTTCAAGGTATGAGGGAATAATCTCATTCGAAATGCATATATTGATATTCCTTCGTGACTGATTACCTCACATAGCATAAGAAACGCCGAAATATATTCATGAGGATTCTCTGTGGCTTTTCCAAAGAACTTGATGTCTTGGTAATTTTGGAAAAATTGATGACATCTAGTCTAAGATGGAAATTAGGTTGTCCAAAGGGAGGATATATTACAGCTGATTGCACTGGTGCAAGGATTGGATTGATGTAATCTCCAACTAAGACAGGGGCTTCGTTTTGGATAACTCTCGGTTGATTTGGCTACGGTATTTGCTCGTGAAGTTGGACCTGATGTTGTGGTTGATTTTGGTTATCGATCATTCTCCTTGCTTGACGTTGAACTCTTCTACGATTTCTAAATGTTCTTTTTATTTCGTGATCTATTGGAAAGAGATCTAGTTCCTCAGGATTTTGCATAAACTAATGTCGCTTACAAAGTGTCAAGACACAAGAGAACTAAGCAGTGTAATGGTAGCCTTAAAGTAACTACTAAAAATGAAATACAAATAAAAATAAAAATTAATGAATTTAAAATATCTAATAACTAAAATTAACACCGTTATTCCCCGACAACGGTGCCAAAAACTTGTTCGTTAAAATCCCGCCATATACATTTCTCGCCACATCTAGAGTTTTGAAGAGTTCATCTTCCTGAGCTGGGGTTAGTACAATTGTGCAACTCTGTGATTCCTTACGATAATTATGAAACCACTGTTACAGCTTGTCACGAAAGTTCTTAAGCATTGCAAGAATTGGTAACTCTCGATCTTTCTTGAAAAAGGCATTGAGGGACTCCGAATTGTTCGATGTCATCATGTTGTATCGACATCCTAGAAAATGTGATCATGCCCAATGTTCGATCCCCATCTCTGTCAGATACTCCCATACATCATAGGATTTACTTTCTATTTCGACCATAAACTTTTCAAACTCTTAAAAACTATAAGCCTCTACAACTCTCCTAAATAATGTAACGATACCCTTGCCTCGATTCTTGGTCTTCAGATTTCCATGTATACGGTACATACAATAACCATGATGTGCATCGGGGAAGACTTCGGCGATACTGTTAATTATTGACTATCCTCGGTCGGTTACGAATGCAAGGTTCTCGACATTCCCAATTGCTACCCTTAAGTTTGTGAAAAACCAACGCATCGTCAGATCATTTTCTCTGTCGACTATGCCGAATGCAAGAAGGTAAATTTGGATGTTAGCATCTCGACATATTGTAATAATCAACTTGCCCACGTATCTCGCCTTAAGGGTTGTACCGTCGACTAGGATTAGGGGTCGCATTACGTTTCGAAATTCTCGAACGCATTGTCCAAGGGTCATAAAGAAATACTCGAAACGATTTTCGTTATCCTTCTCAATAAAAAATATCGATCCAGTATTAATTCTTTCCATGTTATAGCAAAACCTGACCAATTTAAATAAACAATAATCATAATTTAAATAATTTAATAAACAATATTAAATAAACTGAAAAATTAACAATTGAATTAAATAATTAATTAGACATTAAATAAAGAATCGATAAATAATTAAATAAACAATTGAAATTAATGATTGAATTAAATAATTAGTTAGACATTAAGTAAACAATTGATTAAATAATAAATTAAACAATTGAAATGAATAATTAACATTTGAAATAAATATTCAATAAACATCTAAATAAAGAAATACCTAGCCAATTTAGCATAACTCTCTTCAGTCGAACCTCTCAAGTCATCCAACGCGCATTCTTTGGCCTTCCAAGCCTTCTGATAGCTCATGACCACCCCGTACTCTCGACCAACGTCATTATTAATGTCCGAAGGTCTATAGATTGTTCGTGGGTCCTGAAACTTGTGCATTACTTCTCGACTAATGAACTATGATCGGGCTTGCCTATGATCATTTTGACGAATACCCACTTCTCAAATATGTTCCTGTGCATGCTTACGAACTACAAAAAACTCATTCGTGTCCATTTTCGTTGCTCGCAAATGCCAAAGGCAACTGTCATCAACGCAAACAATTGTGTAAGTCGACTTGCTTGATTTCTTTACTTTAAACTAAAAATTGTGTTTCAAAGCAATCTGATGAACAGCTTCCTGTAAATCTTTCTTCGTGTCGAACAGTTGCTCGACGTACAAATCTTTATCATCGGGGACTAAACGCGAACAATTAGAGGACCCTGTACTTGATCTAGCCTCTGAGCTCCCACTCGACTTATGTCTCAGACAGGATAAAGTAATCAAATTCTTATTTGTAAAGTCATTATCTATTTCGTTGTCTCGAACTACCGAACAAATTCTATGTGTAATAGTGAGATCATGGTGAGGAGCAACTGTCTCTGGAATAACCACAACATCATCACGAACTATCTCCACTGTGTCCCAAAATTCATTCACATTACGATCCCCTCCATCAAAATTTTCGTGTTCACTCTCGGGGACATTCTTCTTTATCAAAGTTACGCTAATAGGAATCATACGTTTCTGATTCATTTCAATTTAAACCTTCATTTCAGCTTCAGAAGTAATAATTATAGGTGAAATTTAAATGGATGTATGCTCGCCCATTAGAAATCTCAATTCTATGTCGTACTAAGAGGGATCGACTTTAAACAAGTTCTGTATCTCATTGTACATTTCTGCATATGATGTACTTGATGTTATCACAATTGCAGTACAACCATGTCTTTCACTCGTCCATTTTCACACCCATCGATCATTTTCATTATTTTCAAATTCACTAAAGTAACAAATTGAGACAGCAGCTGATCCCATATCTGCATTACGAAACATCATTTATTAAAAAAAATTGTAATTACGAGAATAAAATGACGAAAAAAATATGCTATGCAAGACACAAAAAAAGGGCACGGGTGTCCGAGCCTGCTGTAACATCCGGCCCAGAACCGGGCAGGACTGTCTGTTCGACTTTTTCATTTTGCTGATTTTTACTGAACAAGTGAATTTTTTTCTCGTTTTTGCTAAAAAAAATTTATAAATCCATTTAAGACTGTAATAATTTATTTTTCTAAAATTATACGCTAAATAAGATTTAAAGATTCAGACAATGTACTAATTTAACTAAAATGAAATTAAAAATACGTATTTATACTTACCAATTTTCGAGTGCCGGCTATGAATTTTTTTTTTTGTTGAGCCTTTGATAATTTTGTGAGATTTCAATGTTCAAGTAGATGGAAGATGAAATTTCTTTTTAACTGTATTGGAGAATCTGATAAGGAAGGTAATTTCGTTTTGAAAATTAAGTGGGAGTGTTTGGATTTATTATTTTTTTGAAAAAGGGTATTATTATCTTTTGAACAAATTATATGTTTTTGTAATTAAAAAACATAATAAGGGCAAAAATGACGTTACTCTTCAAAAGGCCCTTTTAGTGAATGGCAAAAAAAATTTGGTCAATGTCATAAGTGGTTTTTTGATTAGATGCTTTTGAAAAGTACCCCCATTTTTGAACTAACAATTTCTTCTCATGTATTAACATTTCAAGAAGATGATGAAAGAAATCCATCGAGTCTCTTAAACATAGCTGACGAATATTTCATACCTCAATCGAAAACAAAAAATAAATTGAACTCGGATCGACATCTATACACTCTATCCTTCTTGGCCAGTTCAGTGCCACTCTCCTGGAAAGATTGTACGTTAGTAAAGGTAGAAATTGAATATACCTAGAATCCCTCCTAGAAACTACAGGATTTCTCACCCCATTTGCTCTATACTCCTCCCCAAAATATGTTATCTTTAACAACAAGAATATAGCACACCTATTTTGAGTTTCAGAGGTAGAAGAAAAAATGAATTCCATATCTTGCAGTTCAAGAAACCCAAGTTTCATTTCAACTTTGTATTTTAAACTTTTCGTAGATTTCTCTTTTTGAAAGAGTGAATGATGATGAATGCATTGAATGATGGGTGTATTATTTTCCATTATTGAATTTCAGTTACTAAAAATAAGAGTAATTTATGGAGCAAGTAATTTTGGTGTATTATTGCTTAAATTTCAGTATTCATAATATATAAATTAATGTGTAGTATTTACTGAATTAGTTTTATTTACTTTGTTATATGTGATTTTTCCCCAAATAATAATAATAATAATAATAATAATAATTCTGGGCCTATGGAGTTGGGTTGCATTATAAGTTACAATTGACCATGTGTAAGACCAAATCAAAATATTACGGAGAAAATGGAAAAAAAAAAAACATAAAACAATTTGTAAGCATTATTATTTTTTTCTCTTCGTGATTAACTACACAAATCAAAGTTAAGCTTTTTAAATGTGTATATTACTGGAGAGAGATGGAGAGGATACCTGAGCAGAACAAGGCGGAGTGAATCATTGGAGGAAGATTTGGAGCGGAGCAGAGCAAACGCAGCTAAGTGGGCGGTACAAAAAAAGACCGACTGGGCTTATCACGGCCCATTTTATAATGGATTACT